TTTCCCCTTTTGGTGAAACCAATCGTCAAGCTTTACCAAATTATTAAAAAACCAATAAATAAATAACTAACAGCACATGAAAAAATATTGATACAGAGAAGAAGAAGAAGAAGAAGAACCTTCCAGTAATGACAACATTTCTTGGTCCAGCTCGACAGTGCTCATCAAGAACCATATTAGCACCTATCATAGTTCCAATAATAATTCCGCCAAGCCAGCTATACCAAGTCAATGTATTCATCTGGCTGTCTCCACCTTCATCAAAATTTGCAGACAAGTGATTGTCATTTTTTTATACCAGTGCTCTTATATATGTGTGTCGGTTTTCTTAAAAGAAATCGACTCACATCAATACACATATCCACACATTACAAAGTGCTTGTAAGCCAACCTGACAACAGAAAACCAACAGCAAGTATAACTCCAGTGCTCATCATTGTCACAATATATCTCCCAATTTGTATGGCAATCTGGTTCACAAGAGATGGGTAAAGTTAAAGCTGAGAAGCTTCGTGTCAATTAAATAAACAAGAACATATTGCTTCAACATCAAACCAAATTTCAACTCTCATGTTTCCTTACTTATGATGGCTCGGTGGTTATGTGAACGTTAGTGGAGTTAACAACCAAAATGCAAAGCTAAAATTATATATTTCATTTCTTTTAAAAACTCAATTAAGCTAAATAATCGAACTTCAAGTAAACATGCAAGTCAATAAACCGCTAAATCACACAAAAGAACATTAATTGGAAGTAGAAACACTAACTTACCGGATGAAAAACCCCCTCGACTTTAGCCACAGCTTTGCTATACTCATAATTTGACTGTGAATCAGACCCACTAACCCGAAAAATAACACCTTTTAAAGAACTCCAAAACCCATATTCCTTCTTCAATTTCATGTCATCTTCCTTTGTGTCTTTGTCTCCATTAACATCATCACTCTTAAAAGACCTGCACGGCTGCGCGTACAACCCATAACGGCCTCTGTGTAAATCTAAACCGGAGCGGTAAACAGCCGGTCTAAGGCTGGTTCTGTGGTGGTCCTTGAAACAGAAGAGGTCTGCGGTTTGTAATTGAGGGCATAAGTGAAGCTTGGTAAGTGTAACAGTCATAGTAGTAAAATATTAAGCTTAAACAGAGAGTTCATGTGAGTGTTTGATATTCCCAGTATTCTGGAAATGCTATTGATTGTGTTGGTAAATATAAGCAAATATAAAATATCTGTAAGAAAGAGTGGAGTTAGATTCGGTAGGAAATCTCGACGGGTGAAGAAACGTGACAACCACAAGTTAAAGCAACCTCATCTTTGCACACGTGGCTTTGTGTCGCTTTTGGAGAAGATGACGCTTTTACGCATCAGTTGAGTAATCTTCCTGTGTACTGCCAAGTACCAACTATTTTTGGATGTTCTTATTGTTTAACAAAATTTGATTAGCTTTACTTCGATTTGGGCGTTAAAACCGGTTCCCTGATCAGTGTTGAAGAATTAGTGCTCTTCGGAAGTCCATTATCACTCAGCCATGGATAAGTCGAGAGGATGGTATTACATAATACACATATAAAACAAACATACCAAACCGCCAGTTCCCCTTCATGAACAATACACCAAGCCATGACTACGAAAACAGGCTTTCATGTAACGCTAAGTTGGTAGAGTACTTAATGAACTTGAGATTAATTGGAAAAAAAAAAAAAAATTAAATTACGAAAACAGATATGTAAACTTTGGTAAATCACATAAAATTGGTGGTTTTTAATTTGTGGATTTTGTCATGTTGTCTCCAAATTATCAAGATAGCTTGGATTCATAAGGTAGTTTTTTAATTTTCTTGACAGCATCACCATTTGTCCATCCACGTTCACTCAAATTTTATTTATATAAACCAAGGGGAATATTAATTTCATCCATTAGGTTTGTTATAAATATATTTCACCCAATATAATTTGATACTGACAAAAACATCCAGACATTTACTAGACACCACTATCCCCTAACACAAATAAAATCCATAATCTTTCTAGGAGTAAACGAAAAATTCCCACCCAAGGTTTGATGAAATCCCAAGTTAGTATCTCAGGTTACATTTATTCCAAATTCTCACCTTTAAAATAACAGTGTTATCAATTTTTAGGGTTTAGAGGGTACAATTACCATAATGCAATTAACCATAAATTAATAAATTATGTTTTAATCCCTAAATTAGTAAAATTATAAACTTACCATTTTATCCTCAAATTATATCAAAAACACCCTTGGTCACTACACACCCTCGTTAGAAACAGCTCGACCTGGGCTGTTTTCAACAGCGTCGAACCCCTTGGTCACTCCATCACCTTCCCCGTAGTCCATCGTCCAAAACCCCTCTAGTTCCCGACTCATTGGCCCCTCCAATCGTCGGCGCTGTTAGGCTTCGTGTTTCGGTGTTCTTCGGCGGATTCCGGTTGATTCCAGCGGCAAAAATCCAATTGGACACCACCACTGCGACCACTGTCTCCAAATCTATAAAACCGCTATGTCCCTAGCAACCGTTTCGTCGCCATTCGCCAGCTAAGAGTTTGTGTTCATCGGCCCTTTTTTGGTGAAGTGGTGGACATCAAACGGTGAGCTGCCGTGGTTGGGAAGGTTAAGGGTTTTGTAGGGGATAATGCGAGAAGTCAAATGATGGTGGTGGTTGAGGTTTCGCCATTCAAGACGACCGACAACCGACAAAAACCAGTCATATGTCGCAGCTACAGTGGCCAGCGATCAGCAAGTGATGAGGGGTTGTGAAGGGTATGGCTTTGTAGAAGGGAGGACGGGGGTTCAAATGGTTGTGACAAGGGTGATTTTGGGTGGAAGAATTGCCATAAAAAAGGGCAAAAAATGTTTGGGACACCGTCTGCTAACGTGCATCGCCCATGTAAAATGACCAATTTACCCTTTTATCGTTACATCAAACATTTTTTCGTCACTTTAAGGGTGAAAATCTAGAATAAATGTAACATGGGGTACCAACTTGGGGTTTCATCAAACCTTGGGTGCGTTTGGTTCAATATTTCTACCCATATTCCCAATCCTATTCTCCAAATATTGTTTGGCACATTATTCCAGAAATATTACTATATTTTTTTAATTACTTTCGGACCCCTTAAACTTATTAATTTCATTAAATACCCCCCAAAAAAAGTTTAAAAATTAACAAAAACACCCCCATCAACCCATAATTGCCAGATTTTAGCAACCATCGTCGATGGTAGCCGGAATCTGTACAACGGCCTACACCACGATGGCCACTGGCTAATAGTTCATCGATCTAGCCCTTTCTGGCCATATCCACAGTGGATATGGCTGGAAAAGGCCAGATCTGGCCGTCGTTGATGGTTCTTGGCCATCGTTGACCGAAAACGACGGCCATATCTTTAGCCATCGCTGACGGCCAAAGATGGTCTTCTTTGGCCTTTTCCGGCCGTTGACGGCCACATTTGGCCGTAGATCTAGCATTTTCCGGGAAAATGTCATATCGACGCGTTACGACACAAATCCGATAGGTCATGTCGTAACGCAATTTTCTATCCAGATTCTGACGGTGGTAGCCGGAATCTGGCACTGCAGGTGGTGGGGGTGTTTTTGTCATTTTATATGTTGGGGTGTTTAATTAAACTAGTAAACCTAGGGGGGTTTTTTTATAAATTTTTAAATTTTACCTCGTACTACTCCCCTATTTAACTACCCAATATTATTCTCAAAATCCTATCCAAAATAATGAACCAAACGCACCCAAGGATATCCTTCGATATAAGAAGTAAAATCATAATTAATTAAAGAATCTAATAGATAAAAGAATATGAGTTGAAATATGCAATAAATATGGATAAAATATGGTCCAAATAAGGAAGAGGATCTCATATTCTCCTAAAATACTCCAATTCTCTTTCAACATGAGTGATATCTCAATATTCATTCGGAGAAGACTCGCACTTGAACACTCATCACTGTATTTAGCGTAAATCTTTTCCGTTACGTTCTTTTACAAAGATAGAAATAGGTGCTGCAGTCAAAGATCATCTTAGAGACAAGAAGTTAACAAATCGAAGACAAAATCGTGAAATTATAGTGTTGTTAAGGGCAAGACAACACTTTCCCAATTTGGAGCAAAATTTGGTCAACAAATATTGAGGATGAAGGTTAAAATGGTATTTTAATAGAACATTCTCTCTCAAGTGTTAATGTTCAATATTTATGCGTAAACGTAATTGGTTACTTCCAATTATAGATTGATTTGTAAGTATCAATGTATCATGTTGGCTGAAAGCCTGAAACCTTACCAAGGATAAACGGGGTAAAATGGTATTTCCCCTATGGTACTTATTATTATAAATGGAGGACATCCACCGAATGCCGGCGAATGGCCATGTTTTCGGCCTTATGACACATGGCAGAAGTTGCATCTCTTATTGACACATGCACTTGGGCCTGGCCCAGTAATTGATTAGCCCAATTGGGCGGTAGCCTACTAAATAGCCCCCAATTCTTTATAAATACACACATTCACTCGATTTGGGCTATTAGAGAAACGAGGGAAATAACACTCTAGCCCTTTACTCTTGTAATCCGTATCATACAACACTTATAAATAATCTCTTTATTAATTAGGAAAAAAATTTACTGGTTATTCCCCTGAAGATAAACATTTCCATTGTTTGGTGTCCAAGCTGGACCAGACCAACAAAGCTACGGACACCGAGAAACTTGCATCGAAATTGTATACCGGCCTACGTGTACCAGGTGCGTGAATTTTTTATCAATTTTTTTTTAGTGAACGGCCATCCATCAAATTTGGACGGCCGTTCACTCACATGGACTCCCATCCATACTATATGGACGGGGGTCTATATACTAGGGACGGCCGTCCCCATTTAAAGGACGCCTATCTCTGAATAAAATACAATAAAAAAATTTGTTAAACATTAGGGACGACCGTCCATCCATTATGGACGGGCGTCCGCAAATAAGGGACGCCCGTCCTTAATCAAAATATGAAAATAAAAAAAAAATAAAAACTTTAGGGATGGCCGTCCAACTCATGTTTGTATGCCAGTCTCTTACGTTTGGACGGGCGTCTCCATTCTTAAAAAAAAAAATTCTAAACCTCTTCTTTTTCGTCTTCATTCCCCATCTCCTCTCTTCTGTCCACTTTACGTTTCCAGCAGATAATCCATAACATGGAAAGCAATCATCAACATTAACTGCAGATTATATAGGCACACTCTGTCAACTACAAAATTTACAATCTTTATACAAACGGTTTTGCCATTATTATGTGATTGTCTCATTGTCTATTTTAATCTATTTAATTTATTTTGAATTTGTATGTTTTTGTAGCAGTTTACGTGTAATGAAATTATATGTGAAGTACTACTCAATCATTGGAGCATGCATTATTCGAAATTTAAGGAGATAAATACCGTCCACTTACTTGTCTAGGATGAACAATGTAGTATTTTCTGGGTCCTTGAACTTCAAAGACAGCTTCTTCAAGAACCCTGGCTTATCTTCACCTTTGTAAACAATTGATACAGGCTTCTTACCCAAACCTCGGACATCATGACTACCCACTTGCCTAAACTCTGGTGGAGGTCTTATATCCAGCAACTGGGCACTCCCATCTTCACCTATCTTTGCATAAGCAGTTTTTGCAGACTCAACACCCCATGGTTTAGGCTTCTTTAGAACCAGAGACAAAATCAATGGAACTGCCAAAATGGTAACGCCACCAGTTATAATTGCAGGATTATCAGTTCCAAAACTGATAACGCTATCAAGAATCCCACTTACATCAACATCGGATGTGGAAGAACTTGTTGACTGCTGCAGTGCTTCTTCATATGTTAAAGCTTTAGCTAAACCAGTATCAAGAACTGCAGATACTAGCACTAAACCCCCATGAACGCTCCTTGTTAAAGACTCTCGAGAAGTTGAGAGTTTGGATAAAGAAGTTGTGGATAGAGATTGGATCTTTCTGGGTTCTGTTCTTCTTTCACAAAGAACTGATATAGGATGTTGACAGAGCTGGCCTATATAATCTGCAGTTAATGTTGATGATTGCTTCTATATTATGGATTATCTGCTGGAAGCGTAAAGTGGACAAGAAGAAGAGAGGAGATGGGGAATGAAGACAGAAGAAAAAAAAAGGAGATAGGGAATGAAGACGAAAAAGAAGAGGTTTAGAATTTTTTTTTTTTTAAAGTATGGACGGGCGTCCATTCCGGTCCAAACGTAAAGGATTAGCATCCATTCTTAATGGACACCAGTCCAAACATAAGGGACAACCGTCCCCAAGGTTTTTTTTTTTAATTTTATTTTTATATTTTGATTAAGGACGGGCGTCCCTTATTTGCGGACGTCCGTCCAAAATAAAAGGACGCCTGTCCATAATTGATGAACGACTGTCCCTAATGTTTAACAAATTTTTTTATTATATTTTATTCAGGGGCGAGCGTCCTTTAAATGGGGATGACTGTCCCTGGTATATGGACCCCCGTTCATATAGTATGGACGGGAGTATAGACGAGGGTCCATGTGAGTGAACGACCGTCCAAATTTGATGGATGGCCGTTCACTAGAAAAAAATTGATAAAAAATTCACTCGTCTCGTACACGTAGACCGGTACACAATTTCGGAGCAAGTTTTTTGATGTCTGTAGCTTTGTTGGGACCGGACACTCTGTTACCCAAAAAAAAAAAAATATTTACTGTTGATATAAAAGGGAGTTTATTGACATATTTGTTTTAATAGGAGGGATTGGGCATGTTGGTTGATAATTGTAAGACGAAGGGTGATTATAGCAAGTAGCGTTATGAAACTTGTAGGGTCCGTTTGGTTCATTATTCTGATAGTTTTTAGAATAATATTTTGAAAAAAGTTAAATTGTGTGGGTATTACGATGTATAATTTAAAAATTAACAAAAATACCCCTTATGTTTGTTTATTTACTAAACACCCCTATAATAAAATATTAAAAGTTAACAAAAATACTCCCAACTTACTCATTAAATACGGATAGTCGACCACCACCGTCGAAGGGTGGCTGGAGTCGCTGTATCGGCTCATGACCGGATCTTGCTAGTCGTACGTCGATATGCCTTTTTCGGCCAGATCTACGGTGGATCTGGCCGAAAAAGGCCATATCTACGACTATATATGGCCATTGACAGCCAAATCTGGTCGTATTTGGTCATCAACGACGACCAAAGATACAGCCGTCGTTGATGGTTAATAACGACTATATCTTAGCTGTAGATCTAGCTAGAAAAAGCTAAATCGGCATACTACCGACCAGATTCAATTGATAGTTGACTATTATACCAGATTTCGGCCAACTTTCGACAGTAGTGGCCAGAATTTGGTAAATGTGGGTTGTTAGGGTATTTCTTAAAAAAATTTTTAAGGTTGTTTAGTTATATAGAGGGTTTAAAAGAAATTAAATAATTTAGAATAATATTTTAAAAATAAGTAAATCAAACACAAATTTTTTGTTTAAACCAAACGGAGCCGCAGTGTGTGTATAATACAGCAGACAACAGCTCATTATCCGCAAATGGCAAATGGAAACACATGCTCAATATTCTTCCACTGTAACCGAAATTTCTAATTCTAAATAATAATAGGGGCAATTTGGTCTTTTCATAACTATGACAGAAGAAGACTGCCTACTGTGTGTGACAGGAAATCAAAGCAGTGTAAAGATTTGGGCGGAACGTAAGAGTCGGAATCGGAGGCGGAGGCGGGTGATTTATAAATCATTTCCTACACTCCTCCAACAAAACAACAATTATCTCACTCCCAAATCATTTCAACGTAGATTATACCATTAGACATGCAGAGGCATCAGGATCAGCGCTCAAGATCTATCAAGCCCACTACCATTCATAATTGTGCTCAGTCTGGGGATCTTCTTGCCTTCCAGAAGCTACTTCGGGATAACCCATCTCTTCTTAATGAAAGAAATCCCGTTGTAAGATCACATTTTCTTTTCTTTTTCTTTTTTCGTATTATCACCTCCAAAAATTTCACTTTTCTTTTCTCTAAACTATGAACCTTTCATTCTTCAATTGCGTTTAATGGCGCCTGTTTAATTTGTTATGGGTGGATTTTAGGTTGAAATTCTCCAAGATTAGTTAACCTTTGATTTTCTTGTACGTACTTTTATGTTGTTTGACCGGTCAAATGAATTTGATAGGGATTTATGATATAATAAATAGCTTAAACTAGAGGGATTTTCTGCAATCAAGCAAAGACCAAGCTTAGATCTAACGTGAACTCAATTGGGATGGTGTTGGTTTTAGTTTGTATTATTTATGCCATTGTTCTTTAGTTATGGTATAACCAGTAGGAGCCTGTGTCACAAATTTAGTTAATGAGACTGTGGAGGAGATAAATGCCATTGGAATCTTGGTTTTGTTTTGCCTTAGCTTTCATTCAAAATGCGGAAAGGCCTAAATGATTTGGGATATGGACTCCTTATGTTCTTTTCTGTGGCCCATATGGTAAATATGCGTTTCATGAATTCAGATTAATAACTTTTGATAACCTTGTCTCATGGTGATGTGTGATAATTCTGTTTTCATTAGCTATCTGGTTCTGATGTAATCTTAATGCTTATAAGCATATATCGTAATATTTTCCTGTCCTCCAGTTTCTTGGAAAATAAAAGACATATGAACTACATGCATATTATCTTCCAATTTATGTATTCATTTCATTTTTGTTCAAGTGCAGATGTCACAGACACCCCTTCATGTTTCTGCTGGTTACAACAAGGCTGAAATAGTTAAGTTTCTGCTTGAATGGCAAGGAAATGATAAGGTTGAGCTGGAGGCAAAAAATATGGTGAGGAAATTTTTTTTGCTGTATCATTTTTCGGAGTAGAATCTGCGTTCTATATGTGACTTTCTAAAGAATATCCTTTTGAATTAGTTGAGCGTTTATTACATTAGCTTATTTATTTTGGGAGTTAATTTGTTGAATTTTGCAGTATGGAGAAACTCCTTTGCATATGGCTGCCAAGAATGGGTGCAATGAAGCTGCATGCTTACTTCTTGCTCATGGTGCTTTTATTGAAGCCAAAGCTAATGTAATTCCTGGAGCTACTTAGGCCCCCTTTTTGGAGAATTTTTAATTTATTCTGAAATATTGTGGTCAAAGTTTTTATTGAATTTGTTATCTTTTACATGCAGAATGGAATGACACCACTACACCTTTCTGTTTGGTACTCAATCCGAGCTGAAGACTGCTCAACTGTCAAGACATTGCTTGAGAATAATGCTGATTGCAGTGCTGTGGACAATGTAATATGGATTGCAATTATGCAGTGTGTTTTAAGTTTATAGAATATTCTGTCCTGCTAAATAGTAGTAGTTGGTGTAACCTTTGAATTGTAGGAGGGCATGACTCCTCTTGATCATCTTTCAAAAGGCCCAGGAAGTGGAAAGGTGCGTGAACTGTTACTATGGCATCATGAAGAGCAGCGAAAGAGAAGGGCACTTGAAGCTTGCAGCCAGACAAAAGCCAAGATGGATGAACTTGAAAATGAACTATCAAATATTGTTGGTTTGCATGAACTCAAGATACAACTTCGGAAATGGGCAAGGGGGATGCTTTTGGATGAGAGGCGTAAGGCTGTTGGACTGAAAGTTGGCACTAGAAGACCTCCTCATATGGCATTTCTTGGCAATCCGGGAACAGGTAATTGTTTGTTAATTTCTTTTTGATTGCATGAATGCTGATACGTTCGTATTAATTGTCTCATTCTCCATCCATTAATTGTTGTTACAAATTATGATTTTTTGGGTTGTTGCTGGTTTTGCTTTGCTTTTTTTTTTCTTCACTCATTTTTTCTCTTTATTACTTTCTGATTTGATTCCACTGGTGCATTGGGAAGTCCTTGAGACAGTATTTGAAGTTCACTAACTGTTCCTCCTTTTCAACAATTAATTCTGTAATGGTTCATAGACCTTTCTATCTTAGTACTAATCTTTTCTGTTTGTGGTGAAGTTCAATCCTTTTATGTTCTTATGTTAGTATAACTTCGAGGAGTGTGCCAAGTATAATGTTGATGTGTATTTGATGCTTCTCTTCTTTCTTCTGATACCCTCAACTGTATCTTTTTAAGAATCAAGTTTTGGTTTGAGGAGTGGGAAGAATGATGAATAGACATCTACTGACTGATTTATCTTTTCAATTATTTTTTCATGAAATATACATTTTATTATTTATGTCATGTGTTATACTTGTTTGGTTAAATGGTCAGATGATTTTTTCATATCAAACAGGTAAGACTATGGTAGCTCGAATTCTTGGAAGATTACTTTATATGGTGGGAATTCTACCTACTGACAGGGTAACTGAAGTACAACGGACAGATTTGGTTGGAGAATTTGTTGGTCATACCGGACCAAAGACTAGAAGAAAGGTCTGCCACTTAACTTTCTGAAATCACGTTTTTACCTTTTATTGGTACAGAAAACTTTTCTTGACACACTAATATACAATGTATCGTGCACAGATCAAAGAAGCGGAGGGAGGAATTCTGTTTGTGGATGAAGCATATCGCCTCATACCCATGCAGAAATCAGATGATAAGGACTATGGGTTGGAAGCCTTAGAAGAGATCATGTCTGTTATGGACGGTGGAAAAGTTGTGGTCATATTTGCTGGCTACAGTGAACCAATGAAACGTGTAATTGCTTCCAATGAAGGCTTCTGCCGAAGGGTTACTAAGTTTTTTTATTTTAATGATTTCAATTGTGAAGAAGTAGCCAATATCCTCCATATCAAGATGAATAATCAAGCGGAGGATAGCTTGTTGTATGGTTTTAAATTACATTCTTCCTGTAGCATAGAGGCCATTGCAGCTCTTATAGAGAGAGCGACAACAGAAAAGCAGCGTAAGGAGATGAATGGAGGTTTAGTGGATCCGATGCTAGTTAATGCTAGGGAGAATTTGGATCTTAGGCTCAGTTTTGACTGTATAGACACTGATGAATTGCAAACTATCACCTTGGAGGATTTAGAAGCAGGTTTACAGCTTTTATTACGATAAATGTTTGGGATAAAACCGATAAGATAAAGCTTGTAATCATTCTTTTGGCAGTCTGTTGAGGTTACGTTGATGATTGAACTGAAGCAGGAGGTATATTATCCATATACCTTAATTCTTTTACTAGAGTTTGTTGCTATAGTTGCTGCTGGAAATATGGAAGTTGATTCTTTGGAGATTTTTTTTTTCCCTAATATATTGTAATTGATAAATTCAGTTTGTCTATTCACTATTGTTACCCATAAGAATTTTAATATTTTTGAGTTTATTTGACATTGTTGTGATTGTTTTTGTAGACATCAATAAATTTGAAAATTTCTTTGCCAGGATATATGTTTGGCGGTTCATGTAGTTGTTGTAACATGTAACTAAATAAAAGATCATTGCCTAGTTCTTTCGGTAAATCTTCAATATATTCTGAGTTTTACTCATCATTCATCATTCGCGCGTGTGTGTGTGTGTTTGGTGACACATTTTTTACTAACTTTATTTTACAAACGCGACGTGATAGTTTGTAATTTTGGTTGGTATAACCTATTCTGGGTTGACGGAATCTATTGCAAGTTGACATGTCGCATTTGTGTAGAAATGTTTGTGACCGTAATCTTTGATGATTGCATAGTATGGTTTAAGTTTTATACAAAATTGAATCAGCTTTCAGATCATCATCATCTAGATATAAGTCATCTCATAATTTCATATATTATTTGTAAGTGTATTAACTTCGTAAATCACATTTAATTTCAACTATAAAAATGTATTTTGTAATATTTTGGTCAATATTTATAAGACTTGCGTGCAAGCGAAAATCATGATAATAACAAAAATAAATAAATAAAACCAAATAAAAAATTTGCATGGTAGTGAAAGAGTGTGAGAAGCCCAAGCCAAGCCCCTAAAATCTGGTAAAAACAGAAACAGAAGCCAATCCTTTTTGTGTGTGGAGCGAAGCAAGAGTAATGGTCTCAATACTTCCATTTCCTTCCAATTCAACCACGGACTCATGTTCCACCTCTTCTCCTTGCAGGCTCAGATTCAGTTTTTCTTCTTTTAACTTCAAGCCCTCAAACCCAATTCCTTCAAGATTCTTGAAACAAAAACCTTTGAGATTTCCGTCTTTGAATATACTTGCTTCATCTTCATTGATTGAAGATGGCTCTGCGCAGGAGTTTTTAGACAATAATTCAATTGCCGATTTTATGAGATTCAAAAGAGGGAGCCGGAAAGGTAGCGCTCAGTTGCAGACTGCTGTCGTTTCTTATAAAAAGAAGTTCCCTTGGTCTCTTCTTCCGCCTTTTCTTCAGGTACATACACATACAATTTCTTTTTATTTTATTTTATTTCTATCTTTCATTTCTTTTCTTATATATTTTTTAAAATTTGGGCTTTTCAGGTTGATTTAGTTTCAACAATTCACATCGCGGATAAAGAGTAAGTCTGTTTTTTATTGTCATTTGTGCTGGTTTTTCATTTTTTATTTTTTTTTGTTACTTTGATAAATTTAACGTTGTAGATTAAGAAGCTTACCTTTTCAGTTTCAAATTTTAGTAATTGTTTGTAGTCTTTCTTAAATCTTTATAACTTAAAATTAATATAAAAATTCCTATGCCAAGGTATTTTGAAACTCTCCAGAAGGAACTTGAGGACTATGATTGTATCCTTTATGAAATGGTGGCTAGCAGGGAGAGCTTAGAAAACAGAAGAAACCCTGCTGATACAAAGAAGCTCAGAAGTTCGCGCTCACGGGGTTTCAACATTTTAGGATGCATTCAAAGGCAAATGGCTCGAATTCTCATGCTTGATTTTCAATTAGACTGTCTTGATTACCAAGCTGAGAATTGGTACCATGCAGATCTTGATTACGAGACTTTCAAGTTACTTCAGGTTACTCATCTTTGCTTTTCTGATTTCTCTCGCTTTCTATTAGTTTTTAGAAGTTCAGGTTACATTCATTGATTCCTATGCTTACATTGATCTTATGCACAGAGATTTGATTAGGAAAGCTGTCAAAAATACTTGAACTTCTGGCATTCTTAATTCTTATTATATTGGTGGGCTAGGCAGTCAGTGATGTTTCAAGTGCAATGCAGTGCCAAAAACGAATTAAAAAGAATTTTCCCTTTCTTTAAACATATTTGTCCTACTACTTCTGGCTATTTAGGAAGGATTTTTTTTTTGCTTTTAAGGTTATATATGTTCCTCAAGTTTTGGTGATTTTGTTTATCTATGCTCTGTTTGTAAAGGTAGCTGACTGCCACATCTTATTATACTCTTCTATTGTTCTTTCAGCTTGAAAAAGGTGAAAGCTTCTTCACATTTGCAAGGGATATGACTCTCAAATCAACTAAAGCTATGGTGCAGCCTTCGATTCCAGAAGACCTTGGTCCTTGGAGATCCAAGCTTCTATGGGCTTCACGTGTGCTTCCTATGCCCCTTGTTGGCCTACTCATCATTGGAAGTGTCTGCACGGATGTGGGAAGTCAGCCATCAGAATATCCAGAGCTGGAAGCATTATCTAGGCTTGACTTTGGTGCAGCTATGAAGGTTTTCCTGGCAAAGCGACTTACGTCTGAGTAAGTATTGACCAGTTAATTTATTTCACTTACATAGGTGTGATAGTTCCTTGCTTCAAGGTGTGATTATTAGAGCGATATATATATACCAATTTTTCTGGTTTTGGAATGACATATTGCTATAAAGTCATTCTCTTCGCTCATTATTACGTGGCCTTTGTAGTTACTGATCTAGAATTGATGCTTGCTATTGCTGAAAAACCATTTTTAGAATGTTTAAATTTGTAATTAGTTATCCGAAAGGAAAATTTTATTATGGTGATATTCTGATTTTACTAAGAACATTTTTTCCTCATCTATCTGTAGTTTGGTGTTTAGGTGGGATCCAACAGTTGATCATTTCACCAAATAAATGTGTTATCAATTTCAGATTCTAACCCATTTGATTTCTCCCGTCTGCCACCTTCAAGGTTTTTTATGTTTTGATTCTTTGGTTTAAATGCTGCATCAATTTTCGATTGAGGCCGCTAATTTTCATTTACATTATACATTGCATCAATAGCTAGAAAAAAGGATGGGGAAGGAAATTGACTCCAATTGTGTGTTAGGATTTTGTTATATTTGGTGAATCTTTTCCGATTAGAGAATTGAGCAGAAGTATTCATTATACAGGTTCACTCAAGTGACAGCAGAGGTAGAGGAGAGTTCAGTTATTATTGGTGAGAGAAATAGGGCTGCCATTGAAGCACTTAGAAGAGCAATTGATGAGGGCCACAGTAAGATTGCCATACTGTATGGTGGTGGCCACATGCCAGACTTGTCGAGGCGGCTAAGGGAGGAGTTTGACTTGTTTCCTTCCCAGGTTCAATGGATAACAGCTTGGTCCATCAGAAACCGAGACTTGAATAGCAGTTCTCTCCCATTTCTGAAGACAATGGCCGAAGTTTTAGGTTGGCCATTGAATCGCTACCAAACTTTAGCACTGCTCATTTTTTCATCAGTCCTTGCGTTGGATCTCTGGTTTTGGGAACTGTTTTTTGGCACTACAGTTGACTGGATCTCCCAAATTGCATCCGAAGTTTATCAATATGTTGATAGTGCACTAATGATGTGAAATTTTACATCGACTTTATTTGTATATTTATAATCATTAAGGCAATATGAGTATGCCTCTGTACATATTTTAACCATCCGTAATTTAAGGTACAGTTCATTATTTTTCAGGCCAAAGTTATGAAAAGTTGCGTAAATTGTCTGATTCAATTGCATTCATGCGTCTTGTCGATGGAGTTTGTTGGGTTAAACTTGAACAGCCTTCAAATATTCGATTTTGAGGATTTTACCAGAATCATAATTGTCTTAAATAAGCACAAAACATAAATGACATTCGTTCGAACAAGAAACACAAAGATATATGTTCATTCAAATGCGTACGGTAACAAAGAGAAAAAAGCATAATAACGAGAAAGCATGTCATACTGCAACTCATTTCAGCTGAGGCAACGACTAAAACTAGAAGCCAAACTGCATAAATTTCTTCCAACCTAAGACAAAGCTGAAGCTCTCTTCTTCCTGGAGGCTGCCTNGCTATTTTTAGAATGTTTAAATTTGTAATTAGTTATCCGAAAGGAAAATTTTATTATGGTGATATTCTGATTTTACTAAGAACATTTTTTCCTCATCTATCTGTAGTTTGGTGTTTAGGTGGGATCCAACAGTTGATCATTTCACCAAATAAATGTGTTATCAATTTCAGATTCTAACCCATTTGATTTCTCCCGTCTGCCACCTTCAAGGTTTTTTATGTTTTGATTCTTTGGTTTACATGCTGCATCAATTTTCGATTGAGGCCGCTAATTTTCATTTTACATTATACATTGCATCAATAGCTAGAAAAAAGGATGGGGAAGGAAATTGACTCCAATTGTGTGTTAGGATTTTGTTATATTTGGTGAATCTTTTCCGATTAGAGAATTGAGCAGAAGTATTCATTATACAGGTTCACTCAAGTGACAGCAGAGGTAGAGGAGAGTTCAGTTATTATTGGTGAGAGAAATAGGGCTGCCATTGAAGCACTTAGAAGAGCAATTGATGAGGGCCACAGTAAGATTGCCATACTGTATGGTGGTGGCCACATGCCAGACTTGTCGAGGCGGCTAAGGGAGGAGTTTGACTTGTTTCCTTCCCAGGTTCAATGGATAACAGCTTGGTCCATCAGAAACCGAGACTTGAATAGCAGTTCTCTCCCATTTCTGAAGACAATGGCCGAAGTTTTAGGTTGGCCATTGAATCGCTACCAAACTTTAGCACTGCTCATTTTTTCATCAGTCCTTGCGTTGGATCTCTGGTTTTGGGAACTGTTTTTTGGCACTACAGTTGACTGGATCTCCCAAATTGCATCCGAAGTTTATCAATATGTTGATAGTGCACTAATGATGTGAAATTTTACATCGACTTTATTTGTATATTTATAATCATTAAGGCAATATGAGTATGCCTCTGTACATATTTTAACCATCCGTAATTTAAGGTACAGTTCATTATTTTTCAGGCCAAAGTTATGAAAAGTTGCGTAAATTGTCTGATTCAATTGCATTCATGCGTCTTGTCGATGGAGTTTGTTGGGTTAAACTTGAACAGCCTTCAAATAGTCGATTTTGAGGATTTTACCAGAATCATAATTGTCTTCAATAAGCACAAAACATAAATGACATTCGTTCGAATAAGAAACACAAAGATATATGTTCATTCAAATGCGGACGGTAACAAAGAGAAAAAAGCATAATAACGAGAAAGCATGTCATACTGCAAGTCATTTTAAACATCAGCTGAGGCAACGACTAAACTAGAAGCCAAACTGCATAAATTTCTTCCAACCTAAGACAAAGCTGAAGCTCTCTTCTTCCTGGAGGCTGCCTTGGTACTGAAAACAAATTCCAAAAAAAAAAAAAAAAAAAAAAAAAAAAACCCACTTGCTAATATGAGAAAATTTATATAAAAAATCAAACATCATGGTCTGGATATATATATAATGCTACAGACACGATAATTTACACCAAATTTTTATACTAACGTATGTGTCATCTAGTTAGACGCAACTACGTTAGAGATCACTTGTCTTTTATGAATAAACAGTCATCTAATAATTATGGACGATTATATATTATAAATAAACGACAATCTACTAATTTAGACAAATTCTTATAACAGACTCCCCTCTATACCCATTCATAAAATTGTTAATATTAAAAGACGCTAAGATGATGGGGCGGTCATCCATCATCATATGGACAAGAGTCGATTTACTTTGAACGAAGATCTATAATTATTTGGAACCTCATTCATAAAATTGTTAATATTAAAAGATGGACGCTAAGATGATGGGACGCCCGTCCACGCGTCCATCTTTTAATATTAACAATTTTAAATTTATTTAATGTTTAAATATTTCTCTATATGACATATTGAATACAAGCATTAATTGCACTAACCAGCATTGAATACAATATGATATAACAAGTTTGACACCAACCAACAAGGCATTAATTGCACCAGTTTTACTGAAAATACTGTATGCAGAAAAATAGATGCTTGTCAATTTCCTTTCTTAATTTTAATATGCAAAAATTTCAGGACGGTAGACATCCATTATTATATTTTTAAAAATTGATGGACGGACATCTGTTCGAGTTAGACATCTGTTTATTAAATTTTCATTCATATAATATGGATAAAAGCCTATTATTATTTTTATACGAGATAGATGAACGGTCACTTATTTGTGATAAACGATTGTTTATTAAATATAGATAAACGTCCATAATTATTAGACGATCATTTATTTATAGAAGATGTATTTTATCTCTAACGTGATCACCTCTGACTGAATATAATATCTTTTAGTATAAATATTCGATACAAAAAATCAATGTCCCTAGCATTATATATATATATACCTTCTCTGAAGTTGGCCTTGAATCTAATGGCAACATAGCGAAGATACCTCATTCTTCCGGTCCCTGTAGTCTTCCTTCGAATTGCCTTGGTGTTCCAATTATCTAATTAAACAAATAAAAAAAATAAAATTCTAAGAATTGAAAAATAAAAATAAAACAAGTGAGTAAAGTATGAGAAGATTGGGTCACATTTTCTAACACGACTAGAAGGAAAACCACAAGCTGCACAGCGACTCTTCCGAAGATGGAAGCTACGACGGCTACACCGCACGCAGAGCGTGTGAGTTTTGTTCCTTCTCTTCCCGAAGCTTGCAGTTCCTTTGCCCTGCGTCAATCAACACCCAGAAACAAATTAATTAAATCAAAATTTATAACTTGCTTCTTTACATATATGCTACTAGTGCATTTGTTTTAAGAACAAAAGTAGAAGACGAAGAGATTACCATTTTTCTGTTCTTATTATTATTATTATTTTTCGGTTTTTGAAGAAACCACACAAATTTTGAGGTGATTTTGTGTTGGGAGAATTCAGTTGTCAGCCTTGAGAGCTGACTCGTGTACAGTTAATATTGTTTGTGGCGACACATATTGAATGAGTTAGTCTTTAAGACTTCGGGACAATAATTCGTTTGTGTGATTCATAGTGCTAAGATGGAGACATAAAATACGGCCACTCGTCCTAAAGCCAGAGAGAATTCAAAGCCTTGCTGTTCTGAGAAGTTTCAAGAACTACTCGATGGACAATCGATCGTCATTGACAATATAATTTAATATACATACACTTGTTAGCCTGTTAATTGTTAAATTGGGTCATCTTTCTTATGACTTAATCTACAATTATGGGTGATGGTGGGGTGTAGCAATTAACAAAAATACTCGTAAAGTTGACTATTATTATACCGATTAACTGATATTAATCTAGTGTTTCGGTTTGTGGATATTTTGTTCTGACTTTTCTTGTTTTCATTCTTTGTTTGTTCGTGAAACCAGAGATAAAAGTTTTTTACCCCAACAGCAGTGAAATAACATTTTTTTTTAATTAAAAAAAAAAACTACAGTCTCATGTCTTTCTGTGTACGTGGCACACGAAAACTTCGTAAATAAATAATCTTATCTGTTTTGTTTACCAATAATGCTACGGATATCGGGATTCTACATCAAAATCTTATACTGGCTTATGTGTCCCGTGACTCACACCAGATATATTTCACGTTCAAATTTTTTTTTTTTTCTAGTGAATGGCTATTCATCAACTATGGACAGCCGTTCACTTATATGGACTCCCATCCATATTATATGGATGAACATTCCCATTTAAATGACGTCCGTTTATTAATAAATAGAATAAAAAATATAAACAAAAATTAGGGACGTCTGTGGCCGTCCCTAAAGATTGGACGGTCTTTCATATGTTAATGGACACTCGTTCATTAACAATCGTTTTTAAAAATTAAAAAACATTTAAGGACAGTCGTTCATCAGTTATGGACGGCCGTCCCTTAATTTTGGACATGTGCCCGCAAATAAGAGACACTCGTCCATAATGTAAATATAAAAATTAAAAAAAAAAAACTTTGGACGCCTGTCCATAACTTGTGGATAGGCGTTCCTAACGTGTGGTCTTTAGGGACGGGTGTCCCTAATGTGCCCGTCTTTAACGTCCATAACTTTCGGATCTAAAGAGCTACTCAAAATTATTAACCGCATGTGGGGTCAAGAAGATCGGCCTTCTTCAAGCATGTCCCTTATCTCAGCCTTACATGCTGAGCTAGAGAGAGCACGCTTGCAAGTCAATCAGGTTATCCAAGAACAGCGCTCGGACCAGAATGAAATAAACTATCTAATGAAGTGTTTTGCTGAAGAAAAGGCAGCATGGAAAAACAAGGAGCAGGAAGTGGTTGAGGCTGCTATTGAGTCCATTGCAGGGGAACTTGAGGTAGAAAGAAAGTTGAGGAGACGGTTTGAAAGCTTGAACAAGAAGCTTGGCAAAGAGCTAGCTGAGACTAAAGCATCGTTTCTTAAGGCAGTGAAAGAACTTGAGAATGTGAAGAGAGCGAGAATGGTTATTGAACAAGTATGTGACGAGTTAGCCAGAGACATTGATGATCAAGCTGAAGTGGAAGAACTTAAGAGAGAATCTGTTGTAGTTCGTGAAGAGGTTGAGAAGGAGAGGGAAATGATGCAGTTAGCTGATGTATTGCGTGAAGAGAGAGCTCAAATGAAACTCTCAGAGGCTAAATATCAGCTTGAAGAAAAAAATGCCGCTGTTAATAAATTGAGGAGTCAACTTGAAGCTTTTATGGGAGCCACACGTTGGGGACGCCCGTCCAACCAAAGTTCTTTTTAATTTTTATATTTACATTATGGACGGATGTCTTTATTTTTGGGTGCTCATCCAAAATTAAGGAACGATCATCTATAACTAATAAATGGTAGTCCTTAAATTTTTTTAATTTTTAAAAACGATTGTTAATGGATGGATGTCTATTAACATATAAACGTCCGTCCAATCTTTAAAGACGACTATCCATAACTTATGAACGATTGTTCTTAATTTTTGTTTATATTTTTTAGTCTATTTACTGATGAACGAACGTTCTTTAAATGAGGTTGCTTGTCTATAGTAAATAGACTCTCACCCATATAATATGAATAAAAATCCATATAAATGAACGATTGTCCATAATTGATGAGCGATCATTCACTAAAAAACAAATTTTAAACATAAAACATGTCTAGCATAAGTCACAGGACATATAAACCGGTGTAAGATTTTGATATAGAATCCCGATGTAACATTATTGTTTTCATGATATATAAGGACCTTTCATTTCGTTTCTCATTGGATACATTTTTCTTCTCCTCTGGTCCACATTATTTAATTTTATAAACAATTTAATACACACCCATCAACCCTCCACGTCGCAACATCTTCGATGACACGTCACCAATCACTGACGCAGCAAACACGCGCCACTTTATCACGCATCCTTGATGACTAATTATACTCCCATAAGCCTGGAATTTAGACGCCAATAAAACGGTAATTTTGTTGAAAACAAAACAAAGGATGTATCCCTGCATCCGTTATCAACTTATTCTTTATTCACTTAATCCTGACCCTTGATTTCTCATTATAACCGCAATGAAAAGGACAGTATCTCTTCACCGTAGACATTCCAACTGCCCTCCTTGCAATTACTACACGCTCCGATGTTCTCGGTGATTCGTTTCAGTCCATTTTTAGTCACCGTTACATATATTTTCTAATCTTGTAAAATCACTTCAACCTACCATTCATCTCCACCGTCAAATCATTACGTGCAATTCAAGTAACTCTGATTCGCGAAGCGTGTGATAATACCCCAACCTGAGTAAAGCCTGCTGAACTCTCCTGTAGAAAAAGAAGAAAAAAAAAGGGGATATTCTAAAGATTTTCTCATCTACTATTCTCAGAGAAATGGAGTTTGTAAGGACGACGGTGATTCGAGGTCTGTTAAACGGAGGGAGAGCCGGCAACCGGTACATTTGGACGGCGGTTGCGAGACGGCAGCCGGAGGTTATGGAGAGAAACGGCATGTCGTCTGCAGTTATGCAGTGGAGGAGGATGTTGAGCAGTGGCGGTGGAGCTGAAGCGCAAGTGAAAGAGAAGAAAGAGGAGAAGAAAGATATGGTTATGTCCAGTTATTGGGGAATTTCAAGGCCAAAGATCACCAGAGAGGACGGCACTGAGTGGCCATGGAACTGCTTCATGGTATCATCACGCTCATTTTTCGATTTCTTCGTCTAAAAAATTAATTGTCATAATTATTCTCGAATATTATTCGAAAAATAATTTTAAATATTAAATATATTAAGATATAATTTAAATTTTCTTGAAAATTATTTTGCTTACAAATTAAATGACCGTCAATTTCTCATTTAGTTGTGTAGATTTACCTAAGGCTCTTTGGAAAAATCAAATTAACATCAAATTATGAGGATTTTTATGTTTTTATCAGTAAACGTAATAATGTGACTAAGACGACAATTGTGGTATTAAAAAGTTACTCTTATTATGGAAAATTTTAGAGTGATTAATGATAAGATTAACCTCAAAACTCGTAAGGTAATGACATGTAGTAGCACTATTAACATTGGACATTAAATTGATCACTGTTTAGTAGGACATTTTACAAATTCTTTTAATCATATTCTTGTTAATCAATGTTGAGTTGATTTTATTGGTGTTGAATGTAGCCATGGGAAACTTATCAGACAGATTTATCAATTGATTTGAAGAAGCATCATGTACCAAGGACATTTCTGGATAAATTTGCATACAGGACTGTCAAAATCCTTCGAGTTCCAACTGATATCTTTTTTCAGGTCTCTTCTTATACTACCATAATTATTATCTATCATGTGTATCTAGTTTCATTATGTGTTTTATATTTCTGGGAGTAAGCTATCAAAATATTGTAACTTCATGTATATGATAAACAAATTTTGCCATTCATATTCTTCTATTGTGCTAGATACGGCAGTTTGATCACTTCTATAATGTATATGTTTTACTTTGATTTCATATTTTTTATGCCTCTTAAACTACTGCCACTCACTCCAAGTTGATGCAATTACTCAAGCAAGACAGTCCTTTTTTAGATTTGATTAGTAATGGTGAGCTGTGATATGCAGAGACGTTATGGGTGTCGGGCGATGATGCTGGAAACAGTGGCTGCTGTGCCTGGAATGGTTGGAGGGATGTTGCTGCATCTGAAGTCTCTCCGGAAGTTGCAGCAAAGTGGTGGTTGGATCAAAGCCTTGCTTGAAGAAGCAGAGAATGAGAGGATGCATCTCATGACCATGGTGGAGCTTGTGCAACCAAAATGGTATGAGAGGCTGCTGGTACTTACTGTGCAGGGAGTCTTCTTTAACTCATTCTTTGTGCTTTATGTACTCTCTCCCAAACTGGCACATAGAATTGTTGGGTATTTGGAGGAGGAAGCTATACACTCCTATACAGAATTTCTCAAGGATATTGACAGTGGTGCAATCGAAAATGTTCCAGCCCCAGCTATTGCAATTGACTACTGGAGGCTTCCTAAGGATGCCACTCTCAAGGATGTTATCACTGTGATCCGTGCTGATGAGGCTCATCATCGCGATGTCAACCATTTCGCTTCTGTGAGTTTCCTTTCACACTGGTCTTGCATTTTTGTTTCTTATACATAATCTAGATTCTAATGAAATGTTATTTATCAGCTATCTTGACAATGTTTTAAAAACGAAATGTTGGGTGGGTGCCAATTTTTTGATAAGTGGCAGATTTGGAATGGTTTTTCATTGAACTTGGGTCTGGGTAGATCTTGCATCACTTTCATTGACCTTTTTGCTGATATGAAGTATATGTCACCTAAAAAATAATAAGCTAAATTACCAAAAATTAAATGGTTATGCAATATATGTGTGCTTGTTAGTTTTGGTTGTTTTAGGATTTGACAGTGTGGTTGGGCTTGCAGGATATACAAGTTCAGGGGAAAGAATTAAGGGAAGCACCGGCCCCTCTCGGTTACCATTGAGGCATATATCGCTGCACAGAGTACAATGTCACTTTTGTTTATGCTGAGAATAGTAGTACTACTGTAGGAGTCTGGAATATAAACATAATTACTGAATAGTATTCTGTATTGTATCTGCCAAACAAAAGAAAACAATTGTTGTATGTTGTGGACTATAACTTGATTGAATTTTACAAGCATTAAAGCTATAGACGGTGCTTCCTTTCGGCTTCTTAAAACATATTTGTGAATGTGGAAGAGAATCAAAATCGGAGAACAATTGACATATTGGATGTGGGATGGAAATGTCCCAACAAAATTTTATCTTTGTAAGTCATAAATTAGGGCTATATATATTACAAAATGAATCACCCCTAAGCAGAGATCAGTGCTTTTGCATATTGTTACTCTTTGATTACTGATGTTTATGAATATAAAATGATAAGGATAAGCATAAAGATTGATAGATAGATAGATCTAGTTGATGAAATCTATCAATTTATGAAACAAATTATTCTTAAAACCAACGTATCAATTCTAGTCTCAAGTTATTCAAAAACCCCAACAAAATGATTTAACAAAAAACTTCTCGTGCAATCTCTCAAATCCTTTTGTATTCCATTTAACCAATTCTCTAAATCTGAAACATAAATTAATAAAATTCAGTCTGACACTATCATAAGCATAGTCACAAATGTAAATCAATGAAAACAAACCAATTTAATATCATTTATTATATATAATCTATAATGGAAGAATTGATCTACATGGGAAATTAGAACACTTACCCCACTAGGAAGGAACACAGGCCAAATGCACTCACTAATTTCTTCTTCATACTCGTCTTCTTTTCAACCTTTCTACCATCTCCAAATGTTTCCTTTCAACCATGATACAAACCATTGTGGTTTTCTTGTTGCAAATATATTATATCCCATAGAAAAGCCGATCACTAATGCACATCCATAACCCATTAGATTGACTTTCTAATCAAACTACACTGAAATATTGTCTGCTTTAAAGAATACCATCGGCGTTGGTTCTGATGCCTCTAATGCTACATATTTTTTTACAATGGAAATCCACACAACCCCAAGTTCCCAACATAAGAATCATTTTTGAAAGGTATTAAATTGATTTCCTTGAGGTATAGGTCCAACAAGTTGTTTATAAGAAATGTTCAACACGGAACGAAATGTCAAACTTGTGAATTGTTTGAGAATCTCTCCAACTAGATTGTTTGAAGAGAGATCCAATGATTCAAGTTGAGTCAATTTTTCTAAAGGATGATGGAATGTGATTTCTAAGGCGGTTGTGAGAAAATTGATCACTTTGAGTGAGTTAAGCTGATGTGAATCGGGTCATTACACTTGTTAATATCATGAAGGAACCAAATGGGACTAATGGTATTCTTTTAGCCCAAGAATGGAGGACCAAAGGATAGGGATGGATCGGCCCAAGAGTGTTTGTGTGCTCAAAATGAGTTTAAGAAGCCCAATTATAGCCCCAATTCCCCAATTGGTGACTTTCTCAACTCTTGGACGGGACTGGATACCCCTTGGCCCAGGCCCAAGCCCGACCTCATGGCAAAGGCCCAAGCCCATCACGGGTATGACAGGTAAAGCCCAAGTCCGGTCCGACGGGCTTTTTGTAACCTCAAGCCTGACCCAAGCCCGCCCATTTTTATAATGTAAATTTTTAAATATTAATAAATTTTCAATTTTTAATTCTAGAAACAATTTTTAAATATTAATTTATTTTTTAATACTCACCAAATATATGAATAACTTTCCACAAAGTGCATCCATCCATCCATGTAGGGTTTGAGAAAAATGAGTATATATATGTAGAATAATCTTGTAATTAAATATATAGTATAAGGGTAATTTAGTATAATTAATACTAAAATTGTCGGGTCGGACCGGGCCTGGCCTGAAGACATACCTAGGCCCGGCCTGAAGACATACCTAGGCCTGGCCCCTACCCAAGGTTGGGCTTTAAAATCAGGCCCATGCCCCAGCCCAAGCCTGCGAACATCGGGTAAAGCTCGACCTTTTCGGGCTGGGTACCCGGAAATTTCAGGCCCATTGCCATCTCTAGATAAAACTAAGACATATATAACTTATTTTATAAAGGGTAATACTATACTAACAAACGAATCTCATAAATTTTTTTTCACAAACCAATGTGACACCTAAGTTAGGACGAATAATAATTTATTCATAAGGAAAAACTGTTACATTCATAAGGAACAAATGTTCTCATAAGGAACATCCATTCCTTATGGAACAACCATTCCGGAACGATTGTTACTTCTTATGGAATGATGGAATGACTGTTCCATCTTATGGGAATGGTTGTTCCATAAGAAGGAACACCCATTCCTTATGGGAACAGTCATTTTTTTATGAAAGAGCGATTGTTCATCCCTAAGAACGGTTGTTCCTTCATCATGAATGGCTGTTCTTTATGAGAGAACGATTGTTCATCCCTAAGAACGGTCATAAGAAATGACGAAGAAATGATCGTTCGTCCCTAGCCATTCCTTTTATGGATGGTCATTTCTTGAGTCTAGTCAAAATCATTTTGTGCCTTGGGTGTGGTGGGGCTGTCAAAATCATTTTGTATCTTGGGTGTAGTGGAGCTGCCAACTCAACTGTCACGTCAAAGTTTTTGAGAGAAGTTTGCTAAATTCATTTGTCAATCTATCTTTATTCTTTTATAAGTTTCCTTTACAATTTTGGGTTTTTTGTTGAAATTTCTTGAATTATCTTGTCTTTTCGATTTTGTTGGGATAATGTTCATTCTCGTATATTAAAAAAAGGAAAAAAAAAAAAAAAAATGTGTGCAAGTGCAACCACCATTATAGTTGATAGTTTTAAAAATTAAGACACATGTTGACATTCTGGAACTAAATTCAATTCAAATTAATATTGCATTAGGATTTGGAATTTTCTAATATATTTCTATATAGAATTGTTTTTCTTTAGGAATAGGAAAATAAATTAGAAATAGTGTCTCATGTATACCTATGAAAAAGGGATAAATCCTAGAGTTATTTAATTGAATAAAACAGAACGCAAAACTATAATTAAAGAATGAGAGCCACCAAAGAAAGGTTAAGGAAGAGAGAGAGTGCCAATCAGTGAGGCTTGTGAGAGACTAACTCTTGTAATTATTATTCTTCTTCATAGTGAAATTTTGTAACGATAAAATAGATCTAATTCTCATACGAAGAGTGAGTATCACTATAAATCTTATGCTTATGTGTATGATTTATTTATTTGTCATTTGTTTACTTTATTTTTGCTTTTATGAAGATTTAAGATTTGAAAGTACTGTATCTAATTAAATCCTCACTGCATAATGTGTACCAGGCCAGGATGATAATCCTCAGGTTATTGTGTTGTTGTTACTGACTGAAATTGGGATTATTAGAAAGTTTTGTAATTGTGAACCAATTTATTTTCAGTGGCGGAGGTGCTCAATCAATTTCCATTTCCTACCTTCCCATTTCCCAACTCCCAATCCCAATATCCCACTTAATCCTGCTATAATATTTATTAAAATAAACCCTAAACTTCTTGTTCTGCTTTTTCACGTGGGAGTTTTCAAAAATATCTGTAATAAACTCCAATAGAATCTTGACTTGTCTTTTGTTGTATGTAAATATGTAATCGCCAGAACGGAATATTTTTCTGATTAATGTCAGTCATCAACCAAGGCTGACACCAATCTGTGTCGCGCTACCCTCTATTGTGCTTTATTATTATTTTTTATTTTTTATTTTTTTATAATTAAAGTGTTTAAATCAGATTATACTCCTTTTAACTAATCTTTCGAACACTTAAAACTATTAATTGGATAAAATTTTTAGTTATTATCTCTATTAACAATAGAAAAAAGACACGAACTAAAAATATCTTAAGTAATGAGTAATGTTACAGTTTTCGAAAAAAACACACCGAATTCATGCATCGAATGACCTGATATAATCCTGACTATCGATTAATATTAATTCATAATTAATCAACAGTTAGGATTATATCACGTTATTCAATGTATGAATTCAGTGCATTACTTTCGATGACTATATTATTTTCTCTTAAGTAATATATCAATAAGTTTATATCAAATCATTAAATCACCCAAATATAATTGTTAAAGTGTTTATTGCAACAAGAGAGAATGAATAATCTTGAAAAACAACTATTCAAACGACGTCAAAGTTACGTTTGAAAAAGTTTGGACGAAAAATATCACTATCACAATCCGATTCACAATATTACCTACTCTGTGGATTAGATGAATATCTAAAGAGAACATTGTCTTTGATAGTTGTGTTCATATTTGATGTTTTTGACAGATTGTGACATTAATGATTACTCATCTCAATATAAAAACTTTGTCGCTGTGCATATAATGACGTATAACTGCTACTCTGGAAGAATCTAAAACTAGGTTAAGTTTAATCAGTGGGGGGATTACCTCGCCGAGATTGAAATACCAGACAGAGAAGCAGCCTGGGCCTAATGTTAAAAAGAAAAGTGGGATTGGATTGGAACACACTTGAACAAAGTCGACTTGGAAAGAGGATACAGTTTAAGGCTTAGAAAAATGCCACCTTGCATTTCACATTTAAATTGATCCAGATGGCAACCAATTTGATGCAGTAAAAGCCGACGCAAATCCACATGAGTTTCTTCATGATGACGAGGGTAAATATTATCTGGAATTTGCACAGTTAGCTCGGTTACTGATAGATAGTGTGAATCATGAGGGACTGAGAAAATGCTGATAACTTTGTCGTGTATGGTTGGATAAATATATTTAGAAATGAACTCATGCTGCGCTCTTGGTAGGTCCATATATATCCTTTTGCATTTATTTATAGATTCATGAAATTAGGAGGCGTGCCTGGTTTTCCAACTTTTCCAGAAAGATGCTTTAATAAAGTAAGAAAAAAGTTGGGTTTTCCTTTTATCTTCTTTTCCATTTCTTCTGGACGAGTATAAAGGGCTGACCCTGAACAAATTCGTGTTCAGCACACGCCCTCAACATTTTCTTTATTTTGAATTCAATGTTTTATATTTAGCCTTTTGATTCCAGTCATGCAATTCAATTCTGCTAAACACCCAGAAAAGTGCCACTACTACCGCCTTCTTCCGGATTCAGAGAAGAAAAATGAAGAATCACTGCACGAGGAGGCATCTCAAGTTAAATCTCGAAAACAGAAGCCAGTTAGACTATGTGATCCTGTTAATAGAAAGGATCGTTTCAATAGATATGCTCTTTCGGCTGCCATTTTGGCTTCCACAAACTCTATTCTATTGGGCTATGGTGAGTTTTATTCCTTTGAATGTTTCTGTCAAATTTAATATATTTTTGAGAAAGAAATACAACTCAGTATGCCCAAATAAAATTCTATAAATTTATCAATGTGCAGATATTGGGGTAATGAGTGGCGCAGTTCTTTACATCAGGGACAACCTCAAGATCACATCAATTCAAGTTGAGATCTTGGTTGGTTCCCTGAATGTATGTTCATTGATCGGTTCACTTGCAGCCGGTAAGACTTCTGATTGTATAGGAAGGCGTTACACCATTGTCCTTGCAGCAGCCACATTTCTGATGGGTGCATTACTAATGGGATTTGCACCATCTTTCTCGTTCCTTATGGCTGGAAGATTAGTGGCAGGCATCGGAGTTGGCTACTCCCTCATGATAGCTCCGGTTTACACAGCAGAGATCTCTCCTTCCACCGCTCGAGGCTTCCTCTCTTCCCTCCCCGAAGTCTTCATTAACATCGGAATTCTACTGGGTTACATCTCCAACTACGCTCTATCAAACCTTCCAGAAAATATAAACTGGCGACTGATGCTTGGATTTGCAGCATTGCCTGCAATTGCTGTTGCATTGGGTGTCATGGTGATGCCAGAGTCCCCTCGATGGCTCATCATGAAAGGCCGGTTTGCGGAAGCAAAACTGGCTTTGATAAAAACTTCAAACTCTGAAGAGGAAGCTGAATTCAGACTAACTGAAATGATGAAAGCCGCTGAACCTACCTCTTCGTCAAACAATTGGCGCGGTCAGGCTGTTTGGAAAGAGTTATTATTAAGGCCTTCTCGGCCCCTTCGCAGAATTCTCATCGCCGCCGTCGGTGTTAATTTCTTCATGCAAGCTTCAGGAAATGACGCTGTTGTTTATTACAGCCCGGAAGTATTCAGGAATGCCGGAATCAGCAGCAGGAAACAGCTTGTAGGCGTTACAGTTATCATGGGAATTGCCAAGACATCCTTTGTTTTTATATCGGCTCTTTTCTTGGATAGATTTGGTAGGCGACCTTTAATATTACTGGGCTCTAGTGGGATGGCTATCTCATTAGCTTTACTGGGCCTAGGCTCGAAGTATCTTGAGCAGTCAAATGGCAATCCCGAATGGGCTATTGCTTTGTGTGTGGTGGCTGTTTGTGCTGATGTTTCTTTTTTCTCAATTGGGCTTGGGCCCGTTACATGGGTCTACTCATCGGAGATATTTCCGACGAGGTTCCGGGCCCAAGGTTCAAGTCTAGCAATTTCGGTTAACCGGTTGGTGAGTGGGATAGTGGCCATGACATTTCTAAGCATTTCAAGGGAGATAACATTTGGAGGAATGTTCTTTGCCCTTGCAGGGATAATGGGAGTGGGTACAGTTTTCTTTTATTTCTTTCTACCTGAAACGAAAGGGAAGAGCTTGGAAGAGATTGGGGTACTCTTTGAAGACAATGTCAATTGAAATCAAAGAGGATCTTGCTACTTAGAACAGGCCTTTTCATTCATTGAGTTGGATGTTGTAAGTGAAAAAATGCTGCAAAGAGAAAGATTCTTTCTTCTTTTTGGGATACATGAAATTTACTCTTTCCATTTATATGATGATTTTCTCCGTATATGTTAAAATGTAAATGATTTCTTTTCACTGTTATACTGTTTTAGAAATGATTTTGATAAAGGAAACACTAGAAACTGACCTAAAATAAATATAAGAGGGTCCCTAATTAAATTTGGAACGAGGCCTAATCCGTTAAAACTAAGGAACAAATTTTTATTTTTTTTGGTAACCAAGACATCTAAGTTAGCTTACGTACACCTCAACTAATCTTTGAGGTCTATTGAATACCCTATAAGTCAAAAGGGCTAGATAAGCCACAATATTATTGTGGTAGGTGATTTCAAAGTTTGAATTCAATAACTCAAGAAAAGAAACAAACCTCCTTAATCATTATGCCAATCTTTTGGGGTTAAAACTAATGAACAATTGGCAATTTTTCTTTCATTTATTACAAATTTTAGACGAATCTCTTGATTTAGCAAAACTGATTCTTAAGGAAGATTACAGATTTTAGAGGAATCTCTTACTTTAGCAAAACTGATGCTTGATCGCGCAAACTTCTATAAATGTATTCTCTAAAGTTAACCTCTAATTCTTGAAAATCAAATACCATCCTTCTTTTAGGTAACGAGTATAAAAGTTTTGATGCTTGATCGCGCAAACTTGTATAAACATATTCTCTAAAGTTAACCTCTAATTCTTGAAAATCAGATACCATCCTTCTTTTAGGTAATGAGTATAAAAGCAATCAAATGGCATATATATATATATATATATTATATATATATTATATATTTATATATATAATATATAATATATATATATTATATATATTGTGTGTGATTTTTCCACCAAGTTCGGGATATCGCGAGGATATAGCTCGAACTGGTATCAACTCGATTTCATCGGTTGTCTGAATCAGCATAAGCTCGTCGATATTCAGCTCGACCCAGCACAAGTTAGTTGCGAACAACCCAAATGATCACTCAATCAATTCCTAGATAACTTCAGATCCTAGATATTGCAGGGAAGACTGGATCAACATCAATCTCTGCGCGATCATAGCACCCAATCGTGAGAATATCCGAATTGCATTTCGAATCAATTGTAATCTCTTTATTTTTGCTCTTTCCTTTCTGCAAATCTTGTATATAAACCTCTTACAACGATGAAAAAGGGGTTACAAAATATTCATATAACTCTAATTGCAAGCTCTCATAGCAAATATAAACACAGTGGACGTAGGCTCAAGAGTTTATCTCACCGAGCCACTTTAAAAATCTCTTTGTTATTTACATTATTGCATTCGTCATTTTTCATCGCTGATTACCCGTAATCACGCACATATCGGTTCCGATCCCACCAAGGTCGATCAGACCACTCTAGTTGGTGCAGATATCTATATCAACATTTTGGTGCTAGAAGGAGAGCCGAAGCTCCGTCAACATCTCAGATATTCTGGCAAACAGTCACAGCAACCAACCCAATCCAGGCCCACAATGGTGCACACCAGATCAAAGACCACCACCGGAAACCTTGAAATGTGGAAACCACCCACTAGGAAGTGCAACATGATGCCATTGGATGCCGACCTCCTGTGCCGCCAACTTAACACGTCACAAACCACTAGGGGGCAGGGACGTCAAACCCCAAGAACGGCTAGCTGGTGGAGATGATTAGAACAATGGTTGCACAGGCAGTGCAACAAAATGTCAACGAGCTTATGTTGGGTCGAGCAATCATGACATTCAGCTTGACCCAGCACAAACTAGTCGCGAACAACCCGAATGATCTTTAATGTAACGCCCCACTTGAGGTACGCATTTAAGATTTGTTGTATTGCTTAAATGTTCATTGAGTCAGCTTCAATTGAGTTGTATGTTGAGTTGGTTGAGTGTTTGCCTTGAAATTGGTTGAGACTTAAGGGATCTTGGAAATACAGTCTTCGCCACGGCGACGTTGACTTTGTAATTTCGGTGTCGGTTCTGTCAGTTTTCGCTGGGGCGATAGAATTGCTTCGCCGCGGCGACGAGACGGCAGAAAAGTTTTCTTGAGGTTTCTAGAGAATTCTCCATAGGGGCAAAATAACCATTCTACCCCTAATTAGCAGGAAAAGTGGGGAGTAAAATGTAAGAAAATTTCATAGAGAATAGGTTAGTGTGGGGGTGTGAATGTAATGAATAAAAGGATATAGATGAAATTTCTAAGAAATAACAAGGGCAAAATGGAAAGGAAGGTTATAATATGAGCTAAAAAGGGTTAAGTGACATAAACCCTTCATTTTCATTCAGTTCCACCGCCATACCCATTCTCTAACTTCTCTAAATTTTCCTTCAGTTTTCCCACGATTTCTAAGGAGTTTAAGAGAGCTTTTGGGTAATTTTAGTAGAAATTTCATCTCAAGCATCCTAAGGTAATGATTCTTGCTTTAGATGTGAGTTTTGCTTATAGTTATATTGAAGTCTTATATTGTTATTATTGTTCTTGTTATTGTTTTAGGTTGAAGAGAGAAGACAAGACAACAAGGGGAAGGATAAGTGATAGAGAAGTCACTTTTTCACAAAGTAAGTAAATCCAACCAAGTTGAGATTTGAATAAGCTTTTGAGTAGAGATTGAGTAGAGATGTATGCATGTATAAGTATGTAGTATGCTTGATGAGAAATTTAGTTGAGATAAGTAGCTATTTTTTGGTTGTTGGATACACTTCATGTATGAGAAGTGTTTTAGTGTGTATAGAGAAGTAGAGATTTAGATGAAGTTTTGGGAGATGTTGTGTAAACCGATTTGGAAGTGTTTTCTTTGACAGGGATTATGGTAATATGAGGGAGTTTTCTCCCATTTTGGATGGCTAGAGAATGAAGTAGAGTAGTAATTAGAGTAGAGTTTTTTATATGCACATGAGTTGTTTGATGAAAAGCCTAAGAGAAATATGAGTATGATTAGTCAACCTTAATTCTTGCAACATGGCATCTTGGCATCTCCTAATTGCATTAATGAGCATATACCACCCATGTGCATTTACTTGTGTTTTGGGTAATAGCTTGAGAGAGAGTAAAGACTTTTGAGTATAAGTTACATTATGAATACTAATTGGAGAAAGAGTAGAGAATGTTGAGAATAAGCAACTCTAGTAGTAAAGAGAAAGAGAGATTGAGCACTAGAGAATAAAAGAGAGAAAAGAGAATAGAGTAGGTTGTGCGATGGGGAACTCGTGAGTAATGGGTAGAGTATTCCCGCATGTACGTAGCATTGAGAGAGCGGCATGAGTATGAGAGAGAAAAGTGGTGTAGCCCGTGAGAGTACATGCGGATGAGGGCTATACTCGAGAGTACCCGAGAGAGAGAGAGTTTATACACTCACATGGCCAAGGGTTCTGAATCCATGCATAACCTAGTCCGATCGACTAGAATGAGGAGAAGTCACGTAGAGCGGGAGCAAGTCCCGACCGTGCCTCCGGTAAGATGAGGTTGTGACTACTAAAGAGAGTTAGTAGAAAAGAGTTATGAGAAAGAGAAAATAGAGAGAAGTATAAGAGAGAGAGAGTAAACGAGAATTATAAGGAAAGAATTAGAGAGAGAGAGCTACGGGGATAAATGAGTAGAGGATTTGCTTACTGAGCATTAGTTGTGCTCACCCCGTTGTTTTCCATGTTTTTGCAGGATCTAGCTGAGGACACAATCGGATAGGCGTCGGCAAGCGAAGGGAAATGGCTATACTGTCCACCTTGGTTTGATCTTTTGTACATGATACAACTTTTTGTAAAAGAATGTATATGTTTAATAAAAGAAAAATTTGGGCCCAACCTTTTTATGCTATTTTATATGTCTTTTATTATGTACATGTTTTATGAATATTTGAGTAGAAAAGCGGCTATTACATTCAATCAATTCCTAGATAACTTCAGATCTCAGATATTGCGGGGAAGACTGGATCAACAGCAATCTCTGCGCAATCACAGCGCCCAATCGCGAGAATATCAAAATTGCATTTCGAATAAATTGTAATTTCTTTATTTTCGCTTTTTCCTTTCTACAAATCTTGTATATAAACCCCCCATAACGATGAAAAAAGGGTTACAAAATTTTCATATAACTCTAATCGCAAGCTCTCACAGCAAATACAAATACAGTAGATGTAGGCTCAAGAGTTTATCTCGTCGAACCATTTTAAAAATCTCTTTGTTATTTACATTATTGTATTCGTTATTTTTCATCGCTGATTACCTATAATCCCGCCCATATCGGTTCTGATCCCGCCAAGATTGATCGGATCACTGTAATTGGTGTAGATTTCTGTATCAACATTATATATATATATTGTAAAACCAGTTTGGTTTACAACAAGAAGTTAAGTCATTTTTAATGTTTTCAAGGCAATATTACACTTATAACCTAATTTTATAAATTTTTTTCTTACAATTTTGGCATGATAGTTTGCAATGGATCTCACCTAATCAATTACGAATTTTACCTAATTAATTACGAATTACCACGTTAAAACTGTGAGCCAATATTTATTAATGTTTTAAAATTCTGAAAATGCTTTTTCAATGAATCAACTTAATTTGATTAAAAAAAAAAAAAAAAAGATAAGATTAAAAAGGTATCTAAAATGGATAAAAGAAACGTTTGGAAGAGTGCCACTCATTAATGGCAAATCCTGCGTGCAGATGCTGTGTGCAGTTAGAATGTACGTGTTGTTCAATCCTAATGCGAAGCCATCTATTTACAGGTCATGCAATTTATATTTAATCCTATGCCCACATCACATATACTCCATCTCTCTCACCCAACTGATATCCTACCCTCCATTTTCAAATCTTCTTCGGCAGAAATTTATCTCAATTTTATCCAGAGAAAGTTGTAGTTGATAGAAGTTGTAATGGAGGTGAAGCCTAATGCACTTGAATCCAACCAACCACCCCGAAAATCTGGTTTCAACAAGTACGTCCTCCTCTGTTCTCTTTTGGCCTCAACAAATTCCATCCTTTTAGGCTACGGTGAGTGA